AAAGAAAGAAAGAAACTCACTGCCGTGGAATCAATCCCAATTCATAGCGACCCCACTTTGGGTTTCCAGGTGGAACCTCCACGGAAGTAGATTGCCCAATCTTCCTTCCGAGGAGTGGCTGGTGGCTTTGAACCACAAGCCTTCTGGTTAGCAGTAAATGCTTTAGGCACTATGCCACCAGAGCTCCTATTATATATCTAGAGATTATATATCTAGACACCGTCAAAAGTAAGATGTGAATTTCATATATACAAGAATTTTATTGTGGGTTCAAACACCCATGGTATACAGTATTTTTACAGCATTATGTCTCATAAACTTCAGTTCAGTTTATGCTCTTTATTTAAATCCATATAATCATCACTTTCTATTCGTAGTCAACAGTGGATCCTTATTTTATGGAGTTCAAAGACTTATACAGGTATTGCCTCATTTACGCTTTTGGGCCACTTCTGAAGTGTGTTAGAGCTCAATAACAGTACTATTAAATCCGTTTTACAGATGAGGAAGTTAACAGAAACTGATTCTTTCACACCTCTTTTGTCCCTCAGTCCTAGTCTGCACACAGGAAACATTTTATACATGCTGTTTACACCTTGACTGTTCAGCAACTAAGAAAGGAGAGGTAGCCCGAGAGGGAGGGAAAAGAGACTGAGTCGAGATTGCACCGTGGCCACTCAGCTTTTGCCTTCTCCCTCCTCTAGGTGGGCGAGAGATGGGTGACTGGAGCTTCCTGGGGAACATCTTGGAGGAGGTGAATGAGCACTCCACCGTCATCGGCAGAGTCTGGCTCACCGTGCTGTTCATCTTCAGGATCCTCATCCTTGGCACGGCCGCAGAGTTCGTATGGGGCGATGAGCAGTCCGACTTCGTGTGCAACACCCAGCAGCCGGGCTGTGAGAACGTCTGCTACGACGAGGCCTTTCCCATCTCCCACATCCGCCTCTGGGTGCTGCAGATCATCTTCGTCTCCACTCCCTCCCTGGTGTACGTGGGCCACGCCATGCACCACATCCGCATGGAGGAGAAGCGGAAGGAGCGAGAGGCAGAGGAGCTGTGCCAGCAGCCCGGGGCCAACAGCGGCGAGAAGGGGCCCCTCGCCCCAGACCAGGGCAGCATCAAGAAGAGCAGCAGCAGCACTCGAAGTGCCAAAAAGTTCCGACTGGAGGGCACCCTGCTGAGGACCTACATCTGCCACATCATCTTCAAGACCCTGTTTGAGGTGGGCTTCATCGTGGGCCACTACTTCCTGTACGGTTACCGGATCCTGCCCCTCTATCAATGCAGCCGGTGGCCCTGCCCCAATATGGTGGACTGCTTCGTGTCCCGGCCCACTGAGAAAACCATCTTCATTCTGTTCATGTTGTCTGTGGCCTCCGTGTCCCTCTTCCTCAATATTATAGAGATGAGCCACCTGGGCCTGAAGAGGATGCGGTCGGCCTTCAAGAGGCCTGTAGAGCAGCCACTGGGGGAGATTCCTGAGAAATCCCTTCACTCCATCGCTGTCTCCTCCATCCAGAAAGCCAAGGGTTACCAGCTCCTGGAAGAAGAGAAAATCGTGTCCCACTATTTCCCTTTGACTGAGGTTGGGATGGTGGAGACCAGCCCCCTATCTGCCAAGCCTTTCAGTCAGTTTGAGGAGAAAATTGGCACAGGACCCCTGGGCGACTTGTCCCAGGTTTACCAGGAGACTCTGCCCTCCTACGCTCAGGTGGGAGCACAGGAAGTGGAGGGGGAGGAGCAGCCTGTTGAGGAGGTGGCAGAATCAGAGGTGGGTGAGAAGAGGGAGGAAGCAGAGAGGGTGACCACAGAAGGTCAGGAGGCAATACTGGAGGGAGAGAAAGGAGAGACCCCTGGGGTGGGGAAGGAGGGCGAGAAAGAAGAGCTGCAGGCAGAGAAGGTATCAAAGCAAGGGCTGCGGGGTGAGAAAGGGCTGCTGGTTGAGACTGCGCCTTCTCTGTGTGCAGAGCTGACCACAGAGAAGGCGCCTTCTCTATGTGCAGAGCTGACCACTGATGATACCAGACCCCTGAGTAGGCTGAGCAAAGCCAGTAGCCGTGCCAGGTCAGATGATCTAACTGTATGAAGTGGTGCCAGAGAAAGAAAAGAAAACATCTAAGCTAATAGAGGGCAAGGTGAAGCAAAACGATGCCAGCATTATTTGAATCTTCTATCCTCTTTCCTAACTCCCACTCCTGGTTGAAGAGGCACTGCAGTGGATCTGTGCATGTAGTACAAGTAGGAAACTGCCTTTCTCTTAGTGAAGGGCGACCAAGTTAAACCTGTTGTTTCATCAAAGTTTCCAATTTCGTATGACTGCCTAACTCTTCTACCCCAATGGCTATGGGTGACTCTTCTTTCATCCCCGTTTTTCCATAAAAATCCTCCTGAGTGGAATTATGGGAACCTCGGAGCCTTTCAACAGTCTTACCTCAAGGTCACTAACTCAGCCAAACTTATTTCCCTAGCAGATATCACGTGACCATATGTCAGATGTTGCAAACTCAAATACCTACGGGATCCAAGCAGGTGACTTAAACTGGTTAAATAGCCCTGGTGATGCAATGGATAAGCACTTACTTGCTAACCAAAAAGTTGGCAGTTTGAACCTACCCAGCAGCTCCGTGGAAGAAAGCAAACTGCTTCTGTAAAGATTACAGCCAAGAAAACCATCTGGGGCAGGTCTACTCTGTCACATGAGTTGGAAATTGACTCCACTGGCACCTAACAACAACAGACCTGTTCTAATGCAATGGGAAGAGGTAGGCGGTGCAAATTGGAGGGGGGCAGGGGCGGTAGTCACTGCTCAGTTCCATATAGTTATTACCATGCAGTGTTACCTGGCCATTTGATTGATTTTAGGAAAAGCCAGAATTGCAAACATTTCTGTGAAATTTCCAAAATCTTTGTGTACAACTAAATTTTAATTATTTTAAAATTGTACTCTAGGTATACCAAACAAAAGCTGTGCGAGCCAAATGTAATCTGTGGGGCACTGCTTTAGTTATCTAATGCTGCTATAACAGAAATACCACAAGGGACAGCTTTAACAAACAGAAATGTACTCTTTCATAGTTTAGGAGACTAGAAGTCAAAATGCAGGGCTCTGGTGGCATAGTGCCTAAGGCATTTGACTGCTAACCAGAAGCCTGGAGGTTCAAGCCCACCAGCCACTCCTTGGAAGGAAAGTTGGGCAATCTACTTCCATAGTGATACTGCCTCAGAAACCCAAGGAGGGGTCGCTATGAGTCAGGGCCAACTCCACGGCAGTGCATTTCATTGCATTGTGTAGCTCTAGGGAAAGGCTTTCTTTTTCTATCAGCTCTGGAGGAAGTTCCTGTCTCCTTTCAACATCTGTGGGCCTGGCATTCCTTGTAGAACTCTTTTTGCCTTGGTATCACTCTTTCCCTGGGTCTAGGAGGTTCTCAGTACAGGGACCCTGGGTCCAAAAGACAGGCTCCACTCCAGGCTCTTCTTTCTTCTTAGTAGTAAGGTTCCCTCCTTTCCCTGCTTGCTTCTCTCTCATTTTATCTCTTATAAGATAAAATGTGTGACTTAAGCAAAGGCGTACTTGAGTAAGAGTGTGACTTGAGTAAGGATGAGACTTGAGTAAGAATCTGGCTTGAGTCACATCCTCTTGTAAGGCTGTAATTCAAGATACACCCCACATTGATCCTGCCTCATTAACATATAAAGGTTAGGATTTACAATATATCACAGAATGGAGGATAATTACATCAGATCACAAAATGGAGAACAACCACACAATACTGGGAATCCTGGCCTAGCCAAGTTGACACAATTTTAGGAGGACACGATTCAATCTATGAAATTTCACACTTTGGCCTCTAAAAACTCATGTCCTTGTCACATGTAAAACACATTCACCCCATCATATCATCCCAAAAGTCTTAAATCAACTCCAAGCACAAAATCTCATCCTTTGAATTATCTAAAGCAAATATGAGGGAGATTTTAGATGTATTTCATCCTTGGCCAAAACTTGTCTTTATCTGTGAACCTGTGAAATCTAGTCCACAAATTATTCAAAGTACAATGGTGAATCAGGCACAAGGTAGACATTTCCATCACAAATGGAAGAAAATGGAGGGAAAGAAGGGATAACAGGCATCAAGTAAGTCCAAAACCCAGCAGAACAATTTACATTAGCTCTAAAGACTTGAAAATAATCCTCTATTCTCTGAGACCATCTAGGCAATGGCTGTGCCCTTCAGACTCTGGGTTGGCCAAGTTTTCTGATTTGGGTAGAGGCCTTTTGGCCATGAGCTTCAGCTCCACTTTGCAGGCACATGTGGATGACAACTCTGCTCCCTCAGCTTTGGGTGGCCCCATTCCCCTAGTCCCTTTCAGTGACAACCACACCCACTTGGCCCTGGCAAGCCCCATTCTTCAGTCTCTTGGGTATGGCAGCCCCATCCCTTTGGTTTTAGGTGGCAGCCTCACCTTCCTAGCACACCTTCACAGCAGCCCCACTCTCCAAAACCAAGTTGCCGAACATCTGACTCTTTGATATGTTGTAAAAGAAAAGTCAATACTCTATTAAATTAAAAGCAAAGAGGTTTTTGAGGAATAAAAACAGTATGAACCAAGGAACTCTTGTTCAAAAAGTGAGATTAAGTGCTCCAGTAAGCTGGAGTGAGAGTGAAGCTTATATACAGAGAATTCAGCAACTAATAATCAAAAGTTCCTATTGGTTGACACTTATAAAATTGTGCAAAACCAGTTATGAAAACCACAAACAATTTTAAAATAACTTGTTTTTTTATATTCTGATTGGTTGCCAAAATGGGTTAAGACATGTTGTTCAGTATGTGATGTTTGGCAAGATTTTATCTTGACATTTCTGAGAATTGCAGTTAGTTTCTTCCCTCTGTCTCCCCGAGGTTTTCAGTAGGCCACCTTCGTGTTGCCTCCATGAGTGCCTCCATTTTAGGACCTGCTAACACAGAAACCTAGAAGGCTGTGGCCCCCTTTGAGATCCAGAAGACTATGGCCCCATGCTTTGAGACTGAGGTGGCTCTGCTTTTCATCCTCCTTCAAACATCCTCCTTCATCTCCAGGCTGATCCACGGGTGGTTCTTTTCTTTTCTTGGAAGACAGTAGATGTGGCTCCTTTGGCCTATTTCCTGCCTGTAGAATTCCAAGAGGCCAATAATGTTCTCTCCTTTTGTCCTTTCTCTGTTCCCTTCAGTCTAAGCTGATGGGTTTCCTGCTGTAGTAATTGGTTTAGATCCACAAGTCACAAGCTTAATCTTTTTACAGAGATTGTGTAGCCACATCTTTGGTGAAAATTATAGGACATGTCCCTAGTTCATACAACAGAATTTTCTAAATCTTTAATTTTTGTTTTCATTTTGCACAGTTCATTTATAAGTCCATCTCTTTCCTGTCACATATAAGCAGCAAGAAGAAACCACATGGCCCCTTTAAGATCTTGCTTAGAAATCTTTTCAGCCTAATATTTGAGTTCATCACAGTTCTATATTCCAACAAACATTTGAACATAATTCAGACAACTTCTTTGCCACTGCATAAAAAACATCTCCCTTCCTCCATTGTCCAATTACATGTTCATCATTTTCTTTTAAAACCTCACCAGAAACACATTTAACATTCACATTTCTAGCACAGAGATATCCATAATTCTATGAATAATCTCTTCAAGGCAATCTAGGCTTTTACTATTAGGTACTTGAAATTTGTCCAGCCTTTATCCATTACCTAATTCCAAAACTACTTCCACATTTGAAGTATCTGCTAGAGCAGCACCCCACTCTTGGCACCAAATTCTAGTGATGCTGTAACAGAAATACCACAGGTGGATGACTTTAACAAGCAGAAATTTATTCTCTCTTAGTTTAAGAGGCTAAACAAACAAACAAAAAAAAAACCAAACTCACTGCCATCGAGTCTGTTTGACTCATAGTGACCCCTCCTTGGGTTTCCAAGGCAGTATCTCTATGGAAGTAGATCACCTAATCTTGCTTCTGAGGAGTGGCTTGTGGGTTTGAATTGCCAGCCTTCTGGTTAGCAGCCAATGCCTTAGGCACTGCGCCACCAGGCTGGAAGTCCAAATTCAGGGCACAACCTCTAGGAGAAGGCATCTCTTCCTGTTGGCTCTGGAGGAAGTTCCTTGTTTTCTTTCAACAACTATAGGCCCAGCATTCCTTGGAGATTTCCATGTGTCATAGCATCCATCTTCCCTTGGTTCCAGGAGTTTCTCAGCACAGGGACCCCAGGTCTAAAGGACAGGGTCCACACTCCTGACTCCTTTTTGTTGTTAGTAGTGAGGTCCTTCCTCTCTCTGCTTCATTCTCTCTCTCTTTTTAAATCTCTTATAAAAGGTGTAACTCAATCAAGGGTGTGACTTGAGTAAGGATGTGACTTAAGTGAAGGTATGACTTAACTAAGAGTGGGACTTGAGTAACTTGATTCAAGTCACACCCTTTTGTAAGGCTGTGATTCAAGATACACCACACACTGATCTGCCCCATTAACATATAGAGGTTAGGATTTACAAGACATCACAAAATAGAGGATAATTACATCAGATCACAAAATGAAGGACAACCACACAATACTGGGAATCATGACTTAGCCAAGTTGATACATATTTGGGGAAATACAATTCAATCCATAACAGCCACCAATTTGTAATGTCACTTTACACTAATGAGCCCAACTTTCCTGTAGAATCGTTCTCATTCTCTACAGTCCCACTTCACCACTTTGGAGTGCTTAAATCATAGGCAAGGAGATACCCAGAATTTTCACTGACTGTTCTTGGGGATTCACTGTAGTTCCTGGGTTCTGAAGCAATTATAATCCTTGTCTTGCTAAAAATTCTTCCCTGAGCACCCTCAGAGAAAGAGAGCAAGACTCTAAATCCTCTCCCTATGAAATGTAAAGACTTTGAGACCTGGTTACAGTTTTCTTTCTTACAGCCAAGAAAGTCCTTATTTCCTCACCTCTTCCAACATCAATGCACAGCCTAAAACCTATGCTTCCTTTCGTCAGAGCCTGAGAGCAAGCCCAGTTCCCAGCCAGAGGATACCTATCTTCCCACAGGCCTGTC